AAGAGGGTGGGATATTTCCCAGGGGATGCCTTACTGCTAAATGATGAACTAGCACTCGGCTGAGCCCTCAAGGGTTAACACCTTGTTAATGGAGCCTCACACTCTACAAGGCAGCACGAATGGAGGGAGGAGACACAATAGATGCATGGCAGAGGCTGCAAACATATCCTGCGGAACCTGAACGTGATGATGAACCCAGGCTATCCCGCTCGAGCGCACCACTCCCTCCACTTTCCAAAGTGACGAGTGGTGCATGTGTCTGTGAGACAGAGATCCATCTGACAATGTCACACATCAGCCCAGGGGAAGGTTCAGGTGAGCAAATCCCTCCCCTCCAGGATCCAACCTCAGTGTCCCTGTCTCTCAGGATCCAGCTCCGTCAGTTCCCACTGAGCAAGTACGTGCTTTCTGAGGCACCCACGCACACCAATGCTATTATCACAACAGGGCATTGGCACGGCTAACCCGCCTACTCAGGCTGCAGGTTGCTAGGACAGCTCACCTGCACCCCACAGCTCTACCTGCACAACTCCCTGCCCCAGCCCATTGTTATCATAGTCCAGCCTCTGAGCTGCTAATGCTTGGCACGGCTAGTAGAGTGAAGTGCCATCTGGTTGCAAGGAACCACAGCTCTATTGGAGGGGGCTCTGATAACACCCCCAGACCCCTCCTTTCTGCTCTTTTCTCTCCCTGCTAGGCTTAGAAAAACATTTCAGGACAAAGCAACATGTTACAGTTTGATGCTTCAGCAGGGCAGCCCAAGAGAAAGGAATGACCCCCACTCCCATCCACGGGTGGCATTCACAAGCGGCTCCACCTCTGTAGCAGCAGGTGCGTGAACTGGGCATGGTGCTCATGACATCTCAACTGCGCAACCAGGGCGGCACTTGGCCCCCGCCCAGCCCTGGGTACGTGACTCAGCTGTGCTCGGGCTCCCACACGCCCGGCAAGGCTGGAACAAGGAGCTTTAAGGAAGCTTTTTTTTAGCACCTCAACTGCTAGCAGAGCACCTCATCCTCCCTAATTGAACTAACCTCGTTATCGCCACACTGATTTATACCTGCCTCTGGAGATTTCCATTACTTGCATCTGAAGAAGTGAGGTTCTTACCCACGAAAGCTTATGCTCCCAATACTTCTGTTAGTCTTAAAGGTGCCACAGGACCCTCTGTTGCTTTTTACAGATTCAGACTAACACGGCTACCCCTCTGATACTTGATACTGCTTCTGGCACTTTAAAGGGACAGCAGGAAGCCAGGCCTTTAAGATGAAATTTGCAAACTGCCTGCAATCCACATGGAGTAAAAATAACCCTACACAACCCAGTTTCATCAGGGCAAGTGAAACACGGACAACCAGTCCACGCCAAAAGCCAGAGGTGGATGGGTGGGTGTAGGAGATAGACATCCTGTAACAGCACAAGGATCCTTTAGATGTGTCACAACTCAGGTTTGGCCTCAAGGGTAGACACCAGAGTCTGCTACAAAACCCAAGCCCATTGGAGAAGTTTGCACAGACCCTACAGCCTTGATAACAAATCTGACTGCATTAGCTCCTGCTTCCCAGCCCATCTCAGGGGAGAACACACACAGGAAATGGTACAGCCAATGCAAGGCAGAACTGGATTCAAAACGCTGTTTCAGGTTTAATAATTAAAGGCAGTATTAGTAACTTGGGATAAGGAAATCTGTCTGCTTAAAATAAGGTGTAAGAGGGTTTCTTTCACACAAGACAGTTCACCTTCCATTTCTGTTTAAAATAGTCTCCCTTCCAAACAGCCTTGCTCAGAAGATGCCCCAGCCCCAGATGGAATTAGTTAGGCCACTTGATCATTGCAAATTTCACTTACCGCTGGAGCAGCTGGTCACTAAAGAGAAAACACTCCAGCTATATACAGGGAGCCCAGCACCCAGCTACAGGGAGTCGGCTTTTATGTGGGAGTCTACGGACAGAGGAATACGCAACCCATCCCAAAGGCCAAGTAAATCATTAGGGAACCCCACCCCTTTAACCTCTCCCTGCTTTACACAGAATTATCAGGACTTATTTATCATTAATGTCCTTAGCACACAAACCCCCCCTCCCCTCTCGAACCTCTCCCCCCTGTGACCAGATGGTATAGTCCATATATGTTCTAATCAGGTGTTTAATTCCAAGGTTGGGCACTATATAGTGAGTGATTAAGGTGGTAGCTGTCTGCCCAATAAACATGGTGCAAAGGTGGCCTGCAAAGCGAAAAGGAACATGGTGCTTTGTTTTCATTCTTTATGGTGGATAAAAAGAGCTAAGAGGATTACAAATTCTGCATGGTTTTTTTTTACGTTCGAAATTAAGGTCTTGTTTAGCCTACGTGCAACTGGAAAATGAGTGAAAAGGTGACAGGGCAACCGTTTAGCAATCAAGAGAGGAAAAGATTTCAAGTCAGACTGCTTAAGACTTTGTTTGATGTTAATTCTCTATTTAACTCTATTGTCCAATAAGCACTTTGGAGAAAGGACATCTTTAAAGATTCAGCACCCCCACCTCTTTAGTTAAATGTAGGCTCCAACCCATGGTCCATCTCGTCCAGTATCCTGTCTCCAACAGTAACCAGCCCCAGATTCCTCAGGGAAAGGGACAAGAAACCCTGTAGCAGGCTGATGTGGGATACATTGCCCCACAGGAAGTTCTCATCCGAACCCCTAATAGTTAGAGACTGGCTTGAGCCCTGAAGCAGGAGGTTTTCTTATCAAAACTCTCCATTTTAGCATTATCTATGTTAGCTCTGTAGATTTTTGTTTCAATCATCCTTTGTGAGGGTCCTGGTCTCAACAACCTCCTGTGGCAGTGAGTTCCACAGTCCAATTAAGTGTTGAATGAAAGACACGAGGCAGTTCCCAGCATATATCCCTGAGAGCCCCAGGGAGTCCTCCAGTGATACCATCACAGCCGATCTTGACACGGCTGATATTTCTAAGGTTAAAAATAAAAGGCGGGCAGACGGAGTAGGGGAGAATCCTTTCAGGCCATCTCTATCCACTGTCAAGAACTGAAAAAGGAACATAAACCAAACTTTGAAACTCCCTTTGCAGGTCACCATTAAATTCCTTTAGAGCTTTCCCTGTTTGAGATCCTGGGTAAACCAAGCTCCCAGGTCAAAAGCTGAAGCTAGCTACTGACCCTGATCCTGCACACGCCCCTCAACATAGGTTTAGCTTTTGTAAGGAGTCCCAGAGGAGGGGTCCCTTGGCAAAGGGAGAGATCTTACCCCAAACCACTGTCCTCCAATGATTCTGGGCGCTCCTGTCTTCCTGCCCCAGGGGAAGGCGAACAAACTGGATCCTATTAAAATACCCTGGTGCCGCCAAGCTGCCCCATTCTCCCACGTCTGGTTCTTCCCAAGCATAGCAGGCCCGTAAGACACATGTACATTGCATGCCGCACACGCGTGCTGTCCGTCGCCTGGTGAGGCTGGCGTATGCGCCACTGCAGCTGGTTGAAGGGGACCAAATCCAGTTCCAAGTTGATCTGGTTCCTTTTTACCAGCCCCAGGGACACACTCTCTCCAGGGCCCAGTCCCACGTCGGGGCTTCTGTCCCCACTAGATGAGTATGAGCCCGTGGTCTTCCTCCAGTGGCGGGGTGCAGACCCTGTCCTGAGCCGGTGCCTGCAGGACGTGAGGACCCCAGCCCAAGGATACATACTTCTTAACATTCCATAACGCCGGCTGACTCCCTATGGGCATATGAAGAAGTATGTAGGGTTGGGAGGGAGGGGCTGCTCCTCCAGGCCGTGCACCCGGCAGCCCCCGTTGGTGCTTGGTTTGCTGCTGTCATCCCCTAAGCTGGGTGAGTCGGGCCTCTAGCTGCGTGGGCAGGATGCGGGGGGGAGTGTATGAAAATCATTTTCTGGGCCCTTGCTGGGGTGCTGATGCTCCGAGGGGCAAGTCCTCACGTGTACCGGCTCCCTGTAGCATGCACGGGGCTCGCCAGCCAGGATCAGCACCTACCACCATCTCAAGGCTGCCTTCCAGTGCTCCTCCTGGTCTGGACAAACCCCATCTCCTGGAGACTCCGAGGCAGCTGCTCCCACTTCCCCCCTGCTCCAGCTCCTGCTCTGGGAGGCCTGTTCTGGACCCTGAAAAGAGAATGCAACGAAACAGCAGCTTTAGAGACTGGGGGGATGGGGGGGCTCTGTCCCTTTGCCCTGTTTTGTGAGCACCCCCGGGGCAGGAGGGAGCCGGGAGCGCCTGATGGCGGGTCTGTCCCCACCCTGAAATGGCGAGTGCCCTTGGGCTCACGGTGGAGGTGGGAGGTGTTGGGGCTGTTGTATCCCCCCCTCGAGCACAAAGCTCTCAACAAAGCCACATGGGAGACTGAGGGGCAAACCCAGGGCCTGTGCCCCTCAGATCTGGCTCTGGCATGTCTCTGACTGATCAGGCTCCACCCTGTGGTGCTGATTCACTCTGCCAGGCTGCCAGCCTCTGGGCTGCACTGGGGAGGATGGGGGAGCTGCAGAGGGTCCAGGCTTAGGAAACATGGCAAATAACGAAGGGAATTGGCCCTGGAGACCCTGCTCCAAACTCCTCCCAAAATACTTGTGGTTAGGGATCCTCGCTGCGCCAATTTTGCCCATCCCTCGTTCCCAGTCTCCATCCCATGTTCCTTTCTGTCTGCCCACTGGGGCCAGCCCCTTCCCCTCTCTGTGCCTCAGTTTCTCTCTCTGTAAAACGAGGATCATAGGTTTCTCGCTGTCCCAAGTGGCATTTTGTCAGGCTTCATTCAACGTTTGCAAAG